GCTTGGCCAAACTAGGGGACAAATCGGGGAAGCAGAGCAGGTTTGCGGCGGAGCAGAACTCGGGGAGGCGGGAGGAGAGTGCATTTTGGGCTGCGAGTTTGGCGAAGGCTGCCGACTGCACCGCGGTCAAGGGGGAGACCTTGGAGAACAGAAAAGTGGGCTTTGGCAGGTCATTACTCACCTCTTTATTCCAGTAACGAATTAGGAAAGCTTTCGGAGTAAAGGGGTTATCCTCCGTCGGCGCCTCGCCGGCGCCGGAAACCTGTTTTGGCAGAGGCAGAAAAAACAAAATGATGTAAAGATTACAAGGGCGTATGAGGAGAGGAGGGGACAAAAACTCAAGTAAAGAGAAATAATTGCAGAAATGGAGATGGACTTACATTGATAGCTGAAAAGAAGAAGATAAAGAGATAGAGAGGAACCACAAGGGGCGCGGGCATTTCTTTTGTTTTTGTATTCCAACCAAGAAGAGATGAGAATGTTGGTGAGGTTGTTGGGATCGGTTGTAGCCAGAAATTTATAGTGGTTTTCAGAGACCCCAAATTATAAAGTTAGGTTGTTTTAGTTTCTGATATTTGGATGTTTTTTAAATTTAATTTTCCATCGGACAAATACTTTGGTGAATTAGTAAAATCGTAGATCAACTTGACTTGTACAGTTGTACACTTACATATATTTTACTGTTTTATTTTTTTGTGAGATATCCTGCCTTTCCTGGGTCTCTATTCCTTGGGGAGTCAAGAAATGTGGCCATTACAGAAATATAAGAAGCGTGTAATTATTAATCAACCAAGTAAAAGGTAAGAGCACAGAAAGGGAACTGGGATGGGAGTGAATTATCTTAATTAGGTGCCATTGCATATATTAAACAGGAAGGGAGAAAAATAAAATAAAAAGAAAAAGGGAGAGACGAGAGCCACATAGTAGATTACCCCTCAAAAGTCATTTATTTGCAAGAAAAAGTAGGAAAATAGAGGCGATGGTAGAGTACAGACAGGGAGATGGCGGGGTAGTTTCAGAAGCCGCGTTTTAGAAGTGCACGTGTCGTGTTTTGATTGGTTAGACATCGCTTTTGAAGTTTGGATATTTACTCGTGAATTAATATTAGTTTTCTTTTTTTGTTTTTTTGTTTCTTTTTTATAATAACAACGTGTGGAGTAAAGCTTCAAACACACTGTCTTTCAGTCGAAAATGTCTTAATCCTGTTCGCTAGTTATCTTGTTTTTGTTAGGGAAAAAAGAAATAGAAATACAAGAATCCAACTTTGCATTATTGGAATCATTAAAAATTTATCTCCATTATCTTGGACACGACAGTGGCAAAGCTCGTGACAGTCCCCCGCTTCGCAAATCCATGCTATTCTCTGGACAATTTCGTCATTCCGCCCCCTTTTTCTCTGTCGCCAGGAGGAAAGAATTATACGTTATATTAATTCCATAAACTTACAAATCGAGGAAATTTGTATTATTATTTCGTAAAAGTGTATCTAAATTCTAATGATTTAAATTATTGTTTTGTTAGTCTAGTGCCATTGACATAGGGTTCCCGTTAGTCTTTTCTTTCTTTCTTTCTTTCTTTTTTTTTTTTCTTTTCATAACTTTTTATCTATAAAATCATTGTTTTACAGGGTGCGAATGGCAGGCTCATTATTTTGTTTTTCCTTTTTCTTCATTTGAATTCAGTTTTGTTGATTCGACCGCCGATTTCATATAGGAAAAATTTAAATCTAGGAATGGAAAAAAAGCCTTGTCGCATGCACTAGTTTTCTAATTCCACAGATTGAATTACCGCCGTCTTTTAAGGTAAACACTAAATAATAAGCCCTCATTGTTTGTTTCACGTAAATTGGAGATGTTTATAGAATAGACATCTAAATTATCCTCTTTGTTTGATAGAAACATTGAATACTCTGACATTTTTAAATACTTGGACATCTTAAGAGACGTCTCAAGATGTCATAGGAGAGACATTGTTTTCAAGATTTCATTAAAGGCATATTCTTCTGGCAATTCCTCGTCATTTTTGTTCTATAATATTTTTTCATTTATAATCTTTATTCTTCCTTTATTTTATTTTATTTTAAAAATAAATGTACGCACTAATTCATTGATAAATGTATAAATACAATTTTATTGATATGTTACACTTACATATTTGTTTGGGGAAGAGAATACCCTGGACACGTGGAGGACCCCTATTGGTGCTCCAAGATGACTCATGAGTCATGCCCAGCTCGAACGGCCGAGATCACCACCACTAGCGTTGACAGATGCTAAGTATGAGGGCCGAGGTGAACCTGGCCAAGGTCCGACCTACCGGGAAGCTCGGTGGGGGCCGATGTGAGCTACTGTCAGTAGCGTGATTATCGGGTGTAACCGTCGGTCCCGAGATTAACGGGTGTAACCGACGGTCCCGAGATTACCG